AGATAAGTACTTTCAGCATCTTCCTTGTCATCAGTTGAGCTGAGATAGTATGAAGCAGTACTTTTATTATCCTCTGATTCCTAGTCAAGCCAGTACATGAAAGGTTGGTAAGTAACATAAGGTCACATTTTTTAACCTAATTCATATGCTTACATAATACAAATAACTGTTTTATCTCTTATGTCAATGAATCACCCTGTCAGAGCACTAGATACAGACCTATCCAGCCAGAGTCAAGTTGCCTCTGTGCTGCTGATACATACAAAAATCATACTCAGTTTTCCTATTGAATCTTGCGTCACAGCATCTCTTCCGCCATTTGGAGGTCTTCCCTAGCTCTTGGTATGCATGTTTATTGGATAAAGCAAACTTTAGCCACTTTACATATTCGTATGGACACTGTGGTACATTTGCTCAAAAGGGAGGACTATACATCACATGAACAGAGAGCTATGTTTCTCAACTCGTCTTTGACACACACAATCAGCTGATCTCTGTTCTGTCACACAATACACTATTATGACATATGGCAAGTGTTCCTCTCAACCAGTTTGTTGGTATTATCTGCTTGATAGCTTATAACTATGCCAAACCATCAGACTGGATTGATGAAGTCAACTATGCATATTCACCCTATCCAACACTTTGCACAACCCAGAGAATAGCTGGCTGTTGAAATCAACTCGCTGATCCATTGCAAAAACTTCTTCAGGTTTGCCATATTGGTGTATTCAGTGTTCCACCAACACATCAGATATGGACTGTCCTGAGGTAGTAACCAATGAATATGGTTTGGCTAACTTAATGAAGTAATCGACAAAACCAACAATTCTCTGTGCATTGGTGACATCACTTAATATCTCGACTCGAATGGAGTCAGTAAAATCACCATTGCACATTAACACATGTGGTGATCTCTAGTCCTTAGATTAGGCAGAGTCTGAAGAATTCACTTCCTCAAAGTCATGGAGACCATTAAATGAAACACAGGTTGAGAACTACATCCCATTGGTTGATAATAATGGTACAGCATGCCTTTACTCGTAGCTGCTCATATAAGAAGATTGTTTGTAAGTAAGCACAAAACTACACGAATGGCTATCTGTGCTCTGTTCACCACGGGTATCAAAACCGGTTTCTAGCGTTGTAAGTCCGCAGACATACCGCTGTGCCACTGGGGGGGGGGGGGGGG